TCCGACATATCCGGATCCACACCTCTTATCACGCCCATTTGAAATATGAAGTAGGACGGAATATATGCAGAAAGATTCTTATCTTTTATAATTGCAGAGTTAACAAAAGCATTGGCCTCTGTCTGTGTCTTAAATTCTACCGTAATTCGATTTATTCCAGAACGTAACATATTTGAAATTTCCTCCCTGTGTTCGAAGCTAGAGTTATGTATTAATTTTCCGAACTTCATGGGATGCATTTTGCCAACGTGTGCGTCTGAACTTTCAATGAATACTACGTAAGTACCCTTATCCTCTAATTTGTACCTGTTTAAAGCTAAAGTTGATAATAATGAATTACGATCTAGTTTTTTGTTTTTTGAATCATTCTTATTGGAAGCAAGAAATATTTTATTGTGTCCTAATGACCCATTTTCCGCTGCTCTTTTTAACGGATGTTTCTGAGACTCTGTAAAGTCCATAGTATTCTCATTATTTACATTTTAAAAAAATATCTGGAGGAATATCAGGGGGATCCTTCCCTCCGCTTGACTCCGTCATGCTTACTTTTAAGTTTGTATGTCTTTACAAAAATAAATATTTTTAAAATAAATAAACAATTAACACCACATGCAATTAACAATTAATAATCAATTGTAATAACGATCAAGACAAAAATTAATAAATAAGATTAAATAATGAATTTTAAAATATCATGCGATTTTAACTCTGTGAAAGTGATTTGAAATCAATAAGGTTGGACTAGCTCTAAAGATAAGACGTTCTTGATCCGCACCCATCCACGTTCAAAACACGACTGTCGGGTCACCTTCAAGGCCTGGGTGAATTACAAAACAGATGTTGATTAGAAAAAATACAATACAGATAGATGTAAATAATATAAATTTTGAACCAAGTTAACTTAATTAATGGAAGATAACAAAGGAAAGAGAAATACAAAAATAAATTTTAATTGTTTATTTGCTTTTTGATGTCGGCATACTAAGGCGTTCCCCACCCTGCCGCACTCATATAAAATCAGCAGAATACAAATTCACGTTTCACAACAATTTTACATGAAACAAAATACGACCCAACAAGAATAGCACCACATTTTATGTGATTATGAAATAGTTGGTTCAAAGTTTATATATTTTACATCTGTATTGTATTTTTTCTAATGAACATATGTTTCGTAATTCATCCGGACCATGAAGATAACCCGAATAAAGGTAGAAACATCTGCAAAAAAGTGAAAAATATGTTTTTCTAAAATACTTCCTGCCTGACCACTGCTCACGACTTCAATAAATTATTTGAAAGAAAATTCACCAAAACACCGTAAAATCATTTACTGCTAGATTAAAATTTAAAGAACCATTTATTTCCGGGTTTTGCCTTTAATAACGCGTAATAATTCCTCTGGCCTCGCGGAGAACCTAGCCGGCGCCACACAACACGGAATGTTACGGAAGTTACCTCGACAGAAATTTCATTTTCCGTACATTCAAAACACACAGCCAGCGACAGACTGAACGGAATTTCCGTCGTAATGTCTCCGTCGAGCTCCGTTGGTGCACCAGCGTCCGCGGACAGAATGTTCCGCTGGATTCCGCTAAACAGATCAAAACAGTGCAAAGTAGTTCGGGTGCGCCACATTGACGACGGACAAATGTAGAACGGAAGAGGTAGGAATTCGGACAGGCAGACTGCAAGTGAAGCCTTCTAGAATGGACTTGGACCAATTTATTGTGGAAGTTCAGAACAGGCCTTGTCTGTGGAATTTTATAGACGTTCGTCAAATGAAGCTATAATCATCCCATAGTATTGGAAGACAAGATAGATTCGAGGTCCCCCATACTCACAGTGTAATTGACCAAGTGCTACCATTTTCATGTTCAATGGATGAATCTAATGCTCTCTCTTTCTCTTCTGCTTCTCCATTGCCTAGTAAATACACAAAACGAAAAGTGGTTTCATTGTACCGTACATGATCAACTGAGTCACGTTATCAACTGCATATCCAAAAAGTCGTTGTAGTCAGTCTGTTCATTTCCGCTGTATATGTGGCTTGTTCGGGTTGGGCGGATTTTTTGTCGCGAAATTTCCGTCACGAAAATACTCATTCCATCTTGTCACGGCGTGGTTTCCGAAGGCATACGGCTCCCAATAAAGCTGGGGGGAGTAGGGGAAACAACATGAAGGTGCGCCCGACGAATGCCCTTCAGGTGTATCGGGGACTCCGAGCGGAAGAAGACGGTACCTTCATTCGTAATTATTCAATTAATTCCTGTCTCAATCTTCCATGATTAATCACTGGTTAACCTAATTAAATTTTATAGGAATATAATCTTTTTCATTATTATTTTGTTGTTGGTAATTTTGCAAGTAAATCGTTTTAGTTTAATCATAATTTTATTTCATTATTTTTATTAACCCTGATTCTATGATCCTAATTTTCAATTCGAATTATCCGCAATAGTTGGACTCTTTCGGAAGGTTAAGCGGGAGAGTTCACTATGATTAGTCGGGGTCTCTCCGAAAGTTAAGCGGAGGGCTCACACTTCAATCCTTTTTAAAAAAGATGTTTCCTACTCACATTAATTACACATTAATTATAATTTCTATTAAGGGGCTCACACTTGGTAGCAGAGCAAAAAAACCCACCCTATATAGGCCCCCGTGTGCTAAGAGCAAATAAAATAAATATAAAACTGAAAATAAAAAAAATAAAAAAATCAAACGTTTAATGTGAAATCGCGTAATAGTCGCAAATACGGAAGCGGAAACATTTTAAAACGGATTAGGCGGACCCATCTTTGTAAACAAGACGCATTTAACAGATAATCCGATTACCTTATCGAGAGCAGGACGCATCTAGAAAACGCACCTGAAACAATTTTTGTAAGAATAAATAATTTTAATTCAATAAAATTCAATACACTTAAGCCTTTCCCGTAATAAATATGAGCACCATCCGAACACCTCCCGGTTCTGCCAACGACAGACATTCGATAGTATTAATCCCTCCATTGCTGCGAGTGCCGGTAATATTGCTAACCAGTGCCACTTTTGTTCAAAAACCGCCCAGCTGCTAGTCGATTCGTCTCAATATACTTTGTGTTTAAACATATACAAAATGCTTTCGTTCAATGAACGTGAAACCATTTGGCAGATGAAGCTGCAAAAGAAGCAGCCATTACAGGCCTTCAAATCAGGAACGTTCCAAAGGGTGATATGACTGTAGTTTACAAGTCAAAAGTTAAGGGTCAATGGGAACAGGTCTGGTCTAACATATCTGAAAACAAACTACGGGAAATAAAGAACTCTGTAGATGCATGGCCTACTTCATTCAGAAATAGTAGAAGGGAAGAAGTGGTTCTTGCACGGTTGAGGATTGGACACTGCAGAGCCACTAAGGGTCATTTGATGGGGCGAGAGGCACCTCCAATTTGCGGAATGTGCAATCAAATCGTCACAATCAAACATATACTTACGTCATGCTCATTATATTCAGCCCATAGACGTCTACACTCCTTGCCTATAAGCATCCAAGAAATGCTAGGCGACAACAATGATAGTATACGTAATTTGTTTGATTTTCTCAAATCAGCAAATCTACTCGACAAAATATGAGCTCACACTGTTTGTCCTTCTCTATATATACAAGATCAGATATATAAAGATAAATTAAATAAAGATAATAAGATAATAATAATTAGATATGACAATAATAAAGATAATAAATAATAATAATAGATATAGTATAAAAATAAATAAATATAGATAGACAAATATACTAGGCCGACCGTCCGCGTGGGTAGCTTTAATCTGTATGCCTCTTTCTACCTATTAGATAATGAGTTAGTCATTGGGACAATCATGACCCTTGGTGGTTGCGTTCCCCCCCTTTAAAAAAAACAAAAAACATATACCACTTTGTTTGTTCCGAACTGAAGTCTAAAGAAACCTGGACGGAATTGAGCCATGAAAGACGAAATAAATGGAAATGTCCAAATTGCAAAGATTCGCTAGTAACGCTGCAAAAACAGGTCGATGCATTATGTACGACAACTGACGATATAAAAAAGGTGAACTCCGAACTTTTAAAGCAAAATAGATCTATAACTATAGCCTTACAAACATTACAACAGACAATAAATGACGTTACTACACCACTGATTACAAAAAGTTTAACGAAGGGTCGCAACAGCACAGGTTATAAATCAACCCTCGGGGTGCCGGTGTTTTTGAAAAAAGCCCATTTATAAGTATGTCGGGTTCGAATGCAGGGCCGCTGGATTTGAACCCAGGACCTTTACCTTACAGTGATGAGCGCCGTGTCAACGCCTAAACCGTTGCGGCCACCGACTCCCCCTTCAACAAATATTGAAAAACCGGTCGCTAAAAACACACATTTCTTTCAAATCAGCATAATTAAATAATTTTTATTAAAACTCATGAATTTCTGATCTCATTTAATTTGGTTTACTTAAAATAAGTATGTTGTAATTAATATAACGATAAAAATGCATATAGTTTGAAATAAACCACAAAATACGAGTGTCCGGCGTTTTTTCTTTGAGTGTATTTTAGCGAATGAATGCCGTGTTGAACGAGGCGTTAATTTTTTTAAAATTATTTATTACCATCTGTACAAATATATACATTATGCAATGTGATACAATATTTATCATTTTTAAATATCCTGAGGGGAGCCAGCAACCAATGTTGCTCTCACAGCTCTACGAAGTTATTTATGAACTGTTGTTAGATTAGGTCGTGAGGCGATCTCAGCTTCAAGCGCCTTACTGGGTTGTAGAGGTAGATAATGTTGGACACGGATCGGGCTAATGTGTTAGGATGTGAGGATAGTTTTTCATTGAATGTGGAAAATATGATGGCGATTAATTATTAATTTACAAAGGGTATTTTGAGGTCGTTAAATTAGAGGGAAAATGTGGGACATTTGTGTGGACGGATTCCGGGGCAAAACTGGGTGCCTGGTCGGTGGTGAGGGTGAAAGGAGGCGGATTTCTCAGAGTCTCCGCCGAGGAGCGCTCCTGTTACTTCTGTTATTGTTGGATCAATGAAGTGTTATAATATCCAGTTATAATGTGATTTACATATATTTAAGTTCCACCAGTTTTGTTTATTTTTCCCATTGACGGCGCCGGCGACATGGGAAAGGACCAGGAACTCCTCGAAGCGGCCCGAAACGGAAATCTTCCCGTTGTCGAAAAAATACTGGGACAAAGAGCAAAAAGGAGTGGCCCACTTGCCAGGTACTAAAGGAAAAGTTTGAATATTTTATCATATATTTTACTATTAAAGCTCTATTTTAATACAGCCGCATTCTTCCTTCTTTCTACTTCGAAAAATCACTTGTTTTTATTTCTTCCAGGCTTTTCATTTTGAGCAGTTTCCCCATGTCCTCAGGCGTTATCCTGTTTTAAGTTCTTCAAGCACTAAGGCATCCTGACCACTTTTACTCTCTATAACCGTCCCATACACCTTTCACCCTTGCCCATTACATGGATATTTCGAAAGGTGTGGATTTTATGTCAGACCTTGCCAGGTGGAGCAATATATTAAGGAAAGTTAAATTTTCTTTGTGTGATCTTTGTGCCTGTGAATTAACAGTCAAATGGAATTTTTATTTGAACAGCTTGGCCCTTTGCCCAGTTGGCAATTTAAACTTCATAGTTGTCAATGGGTAAACCCAACAAACAAAAAGTAAAACGAACATTTTGCCTCTCGTTTGTCAAAACATTTAAGTAAACGAAGGCCAAATTACTATTTAAAAAATTAATATCAATTATATTAAGAAAAACCATGCGTGAAAGTCCATTAAAAAAACCATATTACCAGTTATTTCCCTTTTCATACTTAATAGACAGATTGTGTTTGACATTTGACACAGGCAGTGCAACAAGTAGAGATGACATTTCTCATAGTGCCTTTGATTAAACAATGTTCCAGAGCAACAGTGGGCATGCACATTTTCCCCACCTCGAAAGATCATACAATTTTCTCATCAGTTATTTTACCTTGTTTTATCTCCTTTCTGATCATACATAATCATCAATTCACCTAAGCCAAACTTAACTTGGTTATCCTCTAGAATGATTCTGTTTTGAACATTAATTGTTGACAATTATATGAGAGCACTAGACTTTGAGGCAATCTGCTGCAACTCTGTCTGTGCTCACTGACATCATAAAACCAAATAACACCTTTCACCAAAAAAAAAAAAAAAAAAAAAACGGTGGGACCCTAGAAAAGGCCGGATTAAAATTAAACCAATAACAAAAGCGATGAAAAAAAAAAAAAAAAAAAACAAGAATGACTTTCTATTAGATTTCAGTATGCCTTTTCCTATGGGTAATTATAAAATTCTATGTTAAGCGTAAACATAGCTGGATCGATGGATGCACCTTCAACCTAATTTCACTTCAAAACCACTGTCATCAAGCCGCAGACAATACAGGTTATTTCAATGCTACATGTTAATACATTTTAACTTCAACAGAGAGAAATACATAAAAAAAAATCAATTTCCCATACATATGATAATTTATTAAGTTAATAAAGAGCTAGATAAATGTACAAAGCAGAGCCATTGCACACATTATCTACAAATCTTAAATTTGCTCTGTTTATCATTCATTCTAGTATGACAAAACTTATATTTTGTTTCATTTAAACTAGAAAAGAAGAAAAAAGAAAAAAAAACTAGAAAAGGTTTGTTGTATTGGCTGATCATGCTTTCATTTTTTGTGATGATGTACAGTTATCGACTCAGCCATTATGTTCCTTATCGGTCACAGTTGTATATTATAATAACGTAATAATTACAAACATGAATCAGAGAATTTATATGATTATAATATCATAATATAAAATTTAAACAAAATACTCAGGACAAAAAATTCATATTTTTCTCTTTGTTTATTGCATTTCTGGTTAAGCATACCAGAAATGCAATAAACAAAGAGAAAAATANCCCTCTTCCTCACTCTCCCTCCCTCCCTCGAGAGCGTTCCGCTTGAACATCACAAAATTCTATGCGAATCACTTCTTAGAAATCCCAGCAAATGTACATGTCCTGTTTGGCGGACCTTTTTTTTTGCCTTGCCATATAAAAGGCAGGTTGCCCAGACGTTCCCAGTTGCCTATGAGCTCAGTGTTTTCGAAATAGATCTATGTGTTAATTGAAAATAAGTGGGGTTTTTCAGATGAGTTTTATATAACATTTCTACACGACGCTTGGCTCGCTGACTTGATAATCCGTGAAGTTTATTCGCCTCTTGTAATGTAAGAAACTTCTAATTCATGTGCTAATTTCCTGGTGCTTGTTAGGGAATTAACAGTTTTAGGCTACAACTGGCATCAAACGTTGGCTTCCTGATTTAGACAAATTTGCTCTTATAGCATACCTTCCTGGAAAGTTTTAACGGGGCTTAATAATTGGAACTCAGGTGTCAGTTCTTTTAAAAATAAAGTCTATAAATCAATCTAATTTCATCACTGAGGTTTCGGATTTTAATCAAAACAGTCGAAAGGTGTTAGTTTCACATCCCTTGCTCGGTGTTTGTTTTTTAAAGATTTTACGTTTTGCAACTTTTTTGTACGGTGTTGGCGGCTCAATTACTCCTGCAATGTTCCTTGAACAGTGTTGATAAAAAATAAATGAATTCCAGGCCACACCAAGTTTTGAGTAAAGCAGGAACCGTGTTTGCACTGGCACAAGACTACGCGAATAACTGAATTTGTTTAAGGATAGGTACTAGGAAGTACTAGGTCGAAAAATATTTCACATGTACAAGCATAAAACATTTTAGATAATTTATGTTTACAAAAAAAATATTTTTCTTGTTCATGTATTTCAAGGTTATTATATATCAGTTGATTTGTTATTTTATCTTGACCTAGAAAATAATATGCAGGATAGTATGAAATGAGATTAGATAAATAAAAAGTTACGAAAACAAAGACACTGGCAGTAAGGTCAAAAAACTCTTTTTGTCGCAAAAACCATTCAGATTCGTTTTAAGCACACTTTAACATCATTAAATACAAATTTTCGAAGTAAAAAAAAATATATATTTGGGCAGGATTCATCGGGCTTCGGATTATTCTCTCGCCAAAGTCTAGCGCTCCTCTTAAAAATTCAAACTCCTAAGAAATTTATCCAAATTTTACGTTATTACAGTCGTAGGAAAGCTGGATTCTTCATCTTTCAGACTACGTTTACAACGTTTAGATTATACAGCATTATAAATGAGAAAAATAAAAATGAAATTAACAAAAACACTTCAAACGTTTTATTTTATATCTCCGATTCTAATTCATTTACGAAGGCCACATTTGTGCATTATGTGTAGTTTATAGGATTCTAAACTCCTGTGACGTTTCCAGTAGAACGTGGAAGTCGTTTCATGGCTATCACCATGAAAATATGAATACAAACCGCTTTGGTCTTTTTTTAAAAATCTGAAGCACTAGGATTACGAAAAAGTTAATACAAAATTTAGTTTTTTGTTTTGCCCCAGAAATTGGTATTCAAGGGTTTTTTAAGGTGCAAATCACGAAAATCAACTTTGTTTTTTATTTTAACATACTTTGGTATGTCACTCGGTCACTGCGTGAAAATTGTATCTGTCAGCTGGCTCTAGTTTGGGTTTCGTTTTGTTTTATCCAACTAACAAGAATATATCGGTTAATTTAATTAATTAATATACTAAAAATAAATTACAACATCCCTATTCATTTTTGAGCAGTTTTTATGAAGATACTATTTCATCTTTCTCATTTATTACGTATCCAACAACTTTTTAGATTTTCTCTAATATTGTATCAGGTGTTTTTCTGAGTATAAAAATAGGAATATTGATTTTGTTTCTTGCCAAAAAAAATATTTAACCTTCTTTTCTACGACGCGTCGATTGGTCACTTCGTCAAAATCATCATTGCCACAGCATGTGCTTCGTAGTTATTGAAAGAAAAAAAATTGATGTTTCATTATTTGGAGAATGGATAGGATATAAAAACGGCGTGCAAAACAACTCATTTCATGGTTAAAGGTGCAGGAAAAATCATACTTTTACTATCGTATAAAGTTGTGTTTTCCCTTGTTGGTGACCAAATCCACAAAATCGTTGTGCCAGAATACAGCCTCGCCAAAAATCACCCCCCCCCACAATTTCTTTTACATTCGAACGTTGCTTTGTTTTAGCAGTTGAAAATATTTCTTGTAAATAATTAACACTTCTTTTTGAATGTTCCTTCTTTTCGTGGCTTTGAGTGGACCGTAGTGGCTTTTTAATTGAGAATAGTATTAAAAAAATAGTATAAAGTAGATGACTCCTATTCCGTGTAACCAAACAGATTGGACTTCGCTATTCTGGATGACAGGAGTTATTTTGCTTTTCTTTTAGTTTTTTGTTAGTTGTTGGGTTTCTTTTCAAAATTGCGAATCCTTTCTTCCAGTTCAACCCCTTCACTCCAGATATCTCACCCCATGGTACTCGATATCCGTCTGGGTGGGGGTAAGGGTAATTCCTTTGCATTTTGTTCAACTTTTTTCAATAAATTAAGTACTATTGTTTATAATTGAAATTAAATAAGTAGCTAAGATATTATTGTGAAAGCTAAACTTAATGTTCACTATAGAAGATTTGTTGAGTCCTTTTAAGAATATTGTTCCAGAATTCTTAAAAATGCAGTAATTTGTGGTGTAAAATATGTTTAACTTAGTAACTTAACTACTTAATAACGTTATGACGTTTACATTAGATAATTACTTGTTTATTTTAGCCATTGTTGTCATGTTCAACAACTCCCCCATTCCTTTTACTAAATCATGTCTATAACATAGTAAATACAAAATATGAACGTGCAGACGAAGCCGGGACGGCTCACACTCCAGACGTTACTATCGTTAACCGACATGGTAACACTAAACGAGCAATAAAGAATATGGTAAAGAAAAGGTGGCAGCGTAAGTAGACTGGGCCGTCCGAGAAACCCGTGCCAATTGTCAAGAAAACGATTGGTAGGCTCCAGAGAATCTAAACGGCATCCTAACCCGAGTCAGGATTTGGCCATACGCAGTTGACATAAGTTCCCACTCGGGTCGCAATGTCTTATATTAACATGAGGTTCTTTAGCGTGCGCACCTAAACCGGTAAATCCGCAGACTAATCGACATACATGCTAACTTCTCCCGCTTGCCCCTTCCGAGGGGTGGGTTAACATTGTGCACTTAATCAGTGCCGCACGT